CCAACGAATCGTCCCGCCGAGATTTCAATCCTGCCACCAACCACCGAAAACCAGAATCCCCCCGAAATCACCCAAAATCTCGAATCCCCAGATGGCCCAAAATCCAGCCAAGCAGCTCGATAAGCTCAGCGGTGAAATCACCAGCTATGCAGTCCACCACCTGCGAGATCTGAAGCTCCATCATCATCTTCCTTCGGTCCGAAGGCTTCGTGTTAAACTGGGAAGGACTAACTCAAAGCCGGGTTCGGAGCAATGTAGCTACAGTTGCCTGTACTTCTGGCCCTAGCTGCACCATTTTTCACCCGAAGCGCTTAAGTTCTGGGGACAGCACAAGCACCTCAACGACATCGGCTTCAGATGAGCTTCCCAAGTGCCGACTTCCATTCTGGATCGCTGGTGTTCACGATGTACTTCGCCCCGAGTTTCTGAAGCAGCTCGACCTGCTCCTGCCGCCTCACCAAATTTACCAGGGCCATACCTGAAGCCAGGGGGTCAAATAGGGGTTATTGCTGTGTTCAAGAGAGGGGAAGGATCATGTTTGAGGATTCCTATGCCAAAAGACTGACGTGTTCTAGGGCAGCGAGGCTGCCCTCCTTCTGGCAGTACTTCACCATCATCTGGCCCAGCTGTGACGCCGCAGCTGTGTGAATGAAGGCCTTCCCCTTCTTAGAGCGCACGGCCTCGACGATGGAGATCACGGTGAAGGGATTCACGAAATAGGCGCACGCATCCTGCACCCATTTTTCTTGGAAGACGTAGGACCCCGCAAATATGAATGCTCTTGCAATGTTATCGAAACTTCAACTGCAGCATCTGTATGTCTATCTATCTGTTGTGTTATATACACCCATATATATGTATATATATATACACATACATACACATGCACATTTAGACATTCATGTAGGTGCGATCCCACGATGTGAAACTGCATCCCAGAGCGTTGGATGAACACACGGCCCTGCTGCCCATGGACATCCTTTGAACACAGCAGCCCGGATCACTTCAACCCTAAACCGTCCTCCACCTTAATGCTGCTGGGCAGGCTCCAAGGACCCATGCCAAAAGCATCCACCACTGCGTACTGTGCATAGGACTTTCCCGTGAAGGCGACCTGTGGGCGACAGAAGCTGTCACGGAAGGCAACGTCAGGGGTGCCAGACTCTATTATTCTTTGGGATCCCTTTTCCTCATGCTGGGTACCTTGAAATCGACACCACTTCAGAACAATGCCCGCGATGGGTGTTGTGCTTCATCACAGACATGTCACGTGCTCCACGGGACACAGTTGCGTCAGTGGAAACCAGGAAGTCAAGAAGCCTTCTTCCCCACGAATTGCGACGCCCACACGCCGCCACCAGTGGCAACCACCAGCCCGGAGCCCTCGTTTCCCAACGGCAACCTCGGGTCCAAACAGTGGAACATAACATCGGACCGTGAAAGCGTGGTTATCAGCAGGACATCGTGCTATACGCCGTCACATTTGCCTTCTGGTGGATTCCATATGGCATGTATGGCACAAGATTCACCAGCAGATCAATTCACGGTTTGCTACTTTTCTATATTCCAGATGTATGTAGATGCACAGACATGTACCTGCACATTTTGTGTGAATGCGTGTACACGACATTCGTGCGTGTGCAAGCAATACTGCCAACATGTACGGACATTGGCAATGTTGACGTTACACGCCTCGCTCCCCCCACCCTCACCCCCAACAAAAGGACTGTCGTGGTCCTTGCATCAGTTCTTGATTGCACGCATCTCGGGAGAATGCAGCCGTGCAGCTCGAGGTGGCTATACACTTGGGGGTGAGGGCTCATTGCAACCCTGTGCATGATTCGCTGTACTCAGGCAACCATATATCCCAGAAATGGAAAAGAGCCTGGACTCAGTCTTCCTGTTCGGTAGAAGCTGGGCGTGGCATGCCAAGAAGCGGATAGCCGTGTGAAGGCGGTGTCCTCATCTGGATTTTTGGGGGCGGGCATGTACGAGAACAGCTTCAATGGCAGGATGATTAACGACAAATCGAAGCAGTAGAAACAGACAGGTCGTCACTATCGTCAGCTTGACCACCACCGCCTCCTTCAATATCATTTCTTATCGTCACCATCATCCTCACCACCATCACCATCACCAGCAGCATCATGCCTATCCACAATTTCGCTATCAACAGCAACACCACCGTCGTCAACTTCATGAGCGCCACGACCACCATCAGCATCGCTATCCTTATCAAAACTATCTCCTCATCCTTTGTCGCCCTCACCAGCATCCCACCCTCATCGAAAGATTCACCCTCAACGTACCATCCAACGCACCTAGCATCATCTTCAGTGGCACCGTTGTCGTCACCCTTCAAATCAAATCTGTAGCAGCACCGTCGTCATCATATCTCTCATCATTGTACCACTGTGATAATAATGGAGCCTCGTTTGGAGCGGGGTACCAGCTCTGGGTTTCGTCAAGGCAGCAACTTTGCTTTTCTCTGCAGAACTTCTGGGTCTCTCCCAGGTGCAGCACATTTCCCCAAAGTGACAGACATGCTCTTTTCAATCACATCCCCCTCGTAATCGCTAGCACAAGGCACTTCCATGCTCCGTCGTCCGAGGGGTTCACCGGAGCAGCGAGTACCTCCAGCAACTACACCGTGGTTGCTAACCAGGCTCACTGTACCATGATAGCAACTTTGGTAAACAACCACTCATGCCATGACTGCTCCGGAGAACGGAGCATTTGAAAGGGGCTGTTGTTGAAAAGTAGGGAGGTGGAAAGACATGGCAAGCCCGAGGGCTACCGCAAACTTTCGTGACGGGAACTGTCTTCTACTCGCTTCACATCTTTCGGTATGCTGCTTAGAGACCCATAAAACCTGAACCCACCAGTTGTTCCGTCACATCGCACGGCCTTGATCAGCAGCTGGCCAGGTTTTGGCTGCGGTGTGTCGACCTCTTCGATCTCGAGCTTCGCAAGGGTAATGTCCTTGTTTGCCTGACGGGGACGTTTGGGCTCGAACTTCGGCCATGTGTAGCCACAATGCAACAAGGCTTCGATCCGGAAATGAGAAATCCTCCGCAGCCCGTCGGACTCAACTGTTCGAAACTACACACACACAGAAGTCTGCTGTAAAGGGGCCTCTCGCAGCACCAGGCGCTGCATCTTCGGCCTCAGCATCTTGGCTTTCGTGGCTGAGTGATTCAATCAACTCGTCGGCCTTGTCCCAAGTGAGTCTAATTAGCTCCAGGTCGTTTGCAATGCAACTGTCATCCTCAATCTTGAACCTCCCACCCTGCACCGTCTGCACCGGAAAACACAGAAGACATGTGCAGCACTACCCAGCAAACTTTGACTCTTCTCGCTGACTCCGCTGACCACTAGCAACTGGCCCCGCCTCCGAAGCCTCAAACCCCAATCGGACCCCTCCACTGCCCTCCGGGGCCAGCTGCGGAACTTCTTCGACAGATTTGGGCTTCCTGGCAGAAGGCTCGGAGTCATTTGCATTCAAAACGTCTCAGGCCTAGGTCTTGGGGGAGCACGATAACCGCGATCACAGGGTGGTGGGCCTTCTGCGCTGCAGCCATGCGAAGCAGCCACCGCCAACGAGCACCGCGGTGAGCGTCTCCATGGCAAGCGCAGGATGCTAACGCAACTTACCTCGAAACTTCTGAACGCTGTGGCTTCGAAGAGAGCTGCGTTGAACCATGCTATGCAATTGTGCGACAATGGCTTGAGCAAGTGTCCAGGAACAAAACAGCAGGATGCCAAAAGGCAGTCATGGTTGCAATAACAGCCACCCGATGATCGATGATAATTGCGACGAGGATGCTGCTGATGATGACGCCAATGTTGAGGAGCATGACGTACGAGTACGAGTGATGGCCTGTGGTTCCAAGAAGCCGATGCATCAACTGTCAGCTGAGAAGCGCAGGCTTTGGTCTGGTGTGAGGGAAGCCCGGGAGTTTACTACCTTCAGCCTTCATGCCCATCCGGTGATACTTTCAGCCAGCTGCTCAAAGATGTGGAGGTCTGCTTTCCTCCATTCCGGCACTTTCTTCGAAAGGTGCCATTCGGACAGCGCCTCTCATGGCTTCCGGCCAAGTTAGCTGCTTGCTTCACAGCGTCTGTCAGTGTCCTGTCACGCGATCTGGACAAGTGTGGTGGACCTGTCCTGGACAGGTGTTTATCGCCTCCGACTCGCGGGGTCGGGCGGGGCGGGCCATCCTTCTGCACTCTACGTCAACAGACTCCGAGGCACTGCAACTCGTTGAGTCGTCGAATCAGGGCTGCACACGACGCGGCGGTTGCTCAGCTAGCAGACAAGGATACAAAGCGAGTTCATGGCCTGCCTCAGTGGTTATGTTACCTAAGAGACGACACATATATAGGCTAGTAGATATGATGGCCAGCATCAGGGATCAACAGTAGCACCGTTGACTACGCAAAGATCACGACAAACCAATATTGATACCACTAACACTCCCAGGCATGACGCCGAGATCAAAAGAATACAACAATCAACAACACGTGAAATTGAAGACTATTGTTCTATGATGTCAATGATGTCGGCATGCTGATGCTACTCGAGGCAATCAATAGTTGTAAAGTCGGCACTAGAATAATAGTTGCCGGACCAGTAGCGTCAACAGACTTGGTGGCCGCTGGTAGCCATAGCATGTATAGCCAGGAGAACAAGATGAGACACAGTGACACACCTGTCTCCACACATGCACAATCTTATCTCAAGAAGCATCAGCAGCGTCGTGTGCAGAAGACGGGGGCCCTGGGAGCCCCTTCTGCGCTTAGGCTCAGGTCGTCGAAAACTCTCTGCTCCTTCTCCCAGGCGCTCAAAGCACCTTCCTTCTCCGAGTTCATCTCAGCCCCTTGAGATTTTCGACCGTGATCCTCTTGACGGTGCCGTTCTTCGCCGATTCCGGGATATCGGTGCATCCGTGGGCGAAGTCGTAGCAGTAGTTGAGCTGCACGAGAGACACAATCTCGGCTTAGCCAGCAGCCCGTTTGGGAAAAGCTCTGTCCGGAAGCAGCCTCAGCACATGAGGACGAGTGTCAGAACCAGCTTCGAGGTGGACTAGACACGCACTCATCGCACTCAAACACGTCGGCAACAAATTCAATTCTAGCATTCGCAGCCCTGGAGCTGGGGGTGGTCTTCCCGCTCCCACTCCCAGTCTGCGGGTGTCAGGCTCCTGCAACACAGGCTAATTGTATCTTGTTCCTGGACATCTGCCTGGAGATCGCTACAGGTTTGCATCCCTGTACGCACCTAGGTGGACAGTGAGATGTGAACCCTGAATCCCAAGCTTTGCTTCGTATGCCGGTCCTGGTGTTGTCGACGACATGTGCAACTCGCTCAAGGAAGCCCTCGGTGGAGTAGACCTCCCTGCGGAGAGTCTCACGAAATCCCCGATTGCACATTGCATGAAGCGTTGATGCTGATGCTGGTAGTGGTGATGGAGGTAGTGGTTGTTGTTGGTGCGGGTGGGGTCACATGTAAATCCAGCTGGTCTCCTGTTTTGCCTCTTCTTTTGGGGCTTGGGTTGGGGACGGCTGGAGGGACTTGTCAGCTTCCCTCAGAACCTCTCGGAGTATCCAGCACACACATGTTTTCTTAAAACTGGCGGAGCGACTCCAGCACCCACAATTTGCGTCTCCTTGTACTGGCTTAGGTGTCCACGAAGCGCTGCTGGAACAGCGCTGTCGGAAAGAAAGCTACACAGAAAACCTACTTCTCCAACACGAAGGCAGCGATGGGGGCCTTCCCGGATACTCGCCCACGGCATAGAACTTCCGAAGTGTCGTGTTCGAGGTATCTGCCTCCCAGATGTTCATCGTCGCTGGGGTTTCAGGTCGTCGCACCATGCAATTAGCTTTTCTAAGGAAAGATAGCAGCAGATAGCCTCTGGTACACCTGCAAAAATACAGTCACGTACAATCTTGCTGATGTTTCTTCCACCAACAGTAAGCGACTCTTTCGAGGAGGGGGTCCCTTGGGGCTGTAACGCACTGTAACGGCTGTAAGAAGTACATCCGGTTAGTGTGCCATAGATAGCCGGACCACAAGCTTACGAATGAAATCTGATGGAGAATTCCGATAAACAAGCAGCAAGCTTTTGCTTCTCTGGCCCGAAGGTTGCTTAAAACCATGAAGTTTGATATAGAAAATTGCCATGTAAGCCGGCCATCCCAGGCATGCCTGGCTGTAGACAGAGTCGTAGGCCGCGCGAATCTTCCGGAAAGTCTCGGCCAGAGCCTTGTGCATGGGCTCTCCTTTGACTCTCTACCACGAGCATATCAGAGGAACAGGCCCCCAAGTCCGTCTACATGCAGACGTATCTTCAGATGCGTGATGCCTGGATGTCGGATGTATGGATGTATGCATGGATGTATGCATGGATGTATGCATGGATGTATGCATGGATGGATGCATGGATGGATGCATGGATGTATGCATGGATGGATGCATGGATGGATGCATGGATGTATGCATGGATGGATGCATGGATGTATGCATGGATGGATGCATGGATGTATGCATGGATGGATGCATGGATGTATGCATGGATGGATGCATGGATGTATGCATGGATGTATGCATGGATGGATGGATGGATGGATGGATGGATGGATGCACGCATGCACGCACGAATGCGTCAATGCATGCACGCCTGCGTACATGCCGTGCACTGCCTGCCCACCTGCCTGCCTGGGTGTGTGGGTGGGTGGGCGGGCGAGAGGGGTGGGTGGGTGGGTGAGTGGGTGAGTGGATAAACATGCACATGCAAGTGTATCTGACAACTGAGGGTTCCGCAAAACCCCTATTCTACTTATTATATGTGCGTGTGTGTATCAAGCTGCATGGGTCCAAGCATGTGATGCGTTCAAGCAGACCACTTCGATGCGCCGCCTTGAAATCGAGAGGATCCACGGTGTATGCGAAGGGCTCCGGTACCTTCGGGTTTAGGATTTGGGGCTCGAGTTTGTTGCTTCGGGTTGAGAGTGCAGGGTCTAGGAAGCTAAATCCGAAAGACTGACTGCCGGACGAATTCCACAGGAACTTCTGCACAATTGCACCAGGAGCCCCTGAGTCTGAAAGGCTTGTTTTCTAGCGAAGATACAAGCGAAAGACCAGATCTTCGACATTCAGCAACCGATTTACAGCCCAAAGTTGCAGTGTTTGCTATTCAGCTTGGCTCTCATCTTCCGAGCGTGTTTCGGGTAGGAAAGCTAGAGTCGATAGAGTCTGAACCGTCTTGAGATCACTGCTTTCGCACTTTGAGCATCCCAAACCTTCTCCAGCCCCAGCAGATTTTCCCGAAAACTGCAGCCCTAGTGACAGTGACGATGATGGCTGTTGTTGGCATCATTTGGTAAACTTGTCGAAACCTCTCCTTCCCAGTTTTCCAACCGGCACTCTACGTCTCGCTTTCTCAAGCTGCGCTCCCTGTGCTCCAATGCTGCGTGCCTGCTCCAAGAATGGATGCTGAGAGGTCCACTTCTGAGTGATGGGCTTGTTTTGCCTGACTGGTGTCAGAATCTTCGACGGATTTGTTAGGCTCGTGTACACTGCAATGATAGCATGATTGGCAATCGAGGTCATGGAAGACATGGCGATACAGTATTGCCGATACTCTGAGCGATGCAAGAAGCAATGGAAATATACCTATAAAGACAAGAATGCTGGAAGTTTGATTGGGAAAGACACACTGAAGGAGACTACGATGAGGACAATATTGGTGGTATTGCTGGTGACAGTCGGTTTACCGGATGCGTGCTGATTGCTGGCAAGAGTGCTTGGGTGATCAGCCGGATAAGACAGACAATGACGAGCAGCAGCAAGCCAGTGATGGTAAAGGCACTACAGGCATTCTTGGGGCATTAACTGCATTAACTAATCCGGCATGAACATTCTATATCTGTGTTCGAAAGTTGAACTTTTCATACAAGGGACGCTCATAGGTCTGATAGGCGCCAAACATGTTGACCCGCACTGCGTATTAACGGATACACTGGGGAAGCTGGTGATGTTTGCCATGACAGTGACGACCACGGACTCAACAAATCGCTGGAGCGTGTCAAGCGAGGCACACTATGCTCAGTCAGATGAACATACGAATGACAATAGTAGTGCTCGCAATGGTGCATGTGACCATGACACGCCGGGCGCATGAGGACGGTGACCACACGGATGTGACAGAACATAATCAGTTATACCATGGTGGTTAACTATTTAAGCACCGACATGGCAGTGATGGCTTGCCATGACAGCCTAAAGCACAAATAAACAGCCCAATGCAGTTTGACACCCACCATCGCTACCAGCTCAAGCGTCCCAAAGCCCCACTGAGGGGGCAACACTGCATGAGGCTCCGGAAGCCAAGGTTGGATGACCTTTGGCATCCGATGCTACCTATCGTAGTTTTTGTGTATCCGGGAGGGTCGTGAGCCCCATCGGGAATGCACGGATTCTGGAGCATATCCAGAACATGTGCATCTAAACATGCATACGTACATACGTGCGTAATTACACTTTAGACAGAAATACATTACATACGGACTCTACACGCATTCACATGCATGCACGCAATATGCATACGGCCATCACTTCGCTCGCATCCTGAGCACCCGAAACAGTCCGAAAGCGAAGAGTTCCAAGCTCCAGAAATCCACAGCCGTAAACTCGATACCCCAAGCCTTACGCACTAAACCCCCTGCCTTGGACAAGGACCCAACTTCTGGGTCACTGGCATGGGTCCCGACACTCAAGGCTTCGAAGCACGAGGGTGCTATTAGCGGCTCTCCTGCCACAGAGGCTTTGGGTAATAGTATCAGGGTTTAAAGTGCAGGACTTATCAGGTTACAGACCTTGGGCTTATCGGGTGGACATTGTCTGGAGCCCCAGAATCCTCAATCTTGCCTTCCAAACAGTTTTTGAAGCCGTTTGTCAGTAGCTGAACAAGCATGCTTCCTCCTCCAGCGCCTCTAGCTACAAGGTGGTTTCCCTCAAGGTTGATTGTCGTCATCGAAACCTAGGACTTCCACACCAACGAGCTTTAGTATCAACGACGATCTCTGTGGTTTGCAGCTCGGTTACTAATCAGAAGAAGATTGGCATTCATTACAATAAACATGACGGAAATTGAAGCACTTGATAGGCACAACTAGCTGACATCGTCGTAGTCATCGATTAGCAGCTGTAGCAACTACTCGCAGCGATGCTGCAGCATGCGCTAAATGCACACTCACACTGAGAGAGATTTAGATGCACCAGCACCTACCGGTGTTCTGTTTGTAACGAGGGCCACCTAACACAACAGACCACACCCTAGGGCCCTAAACCGTGAACCCTGCTCTTTCGGGATCCGGGCCTACACCCAGGTACACCGCCGAGCTTTGCAAAAGATCCCTGAAGGAGGCCGGGGACCTGCACGAAAGGGACATGCGAGGTCTCTGTGTTGCTGTTTTCATTCTTGTTTGCTGTCCATGTTCATGTAGAGCATTCGTCATAAGTATGATATGGTTGTGATCGTGTTTACCACTACGCTTATTCATGCTGCTGCTTTGGCACCGACAACGTGCTCAAAGGCATCAGTCACAGCGCTTTGCGTGGTGTGATTTCAATGCCTGTTGTGAACGCGATGACCACTTATCGATTTGATTGCTTCTACAACCACGTTTTACGGCTCCTACCCGTGATGTTCCATGTGTTTGTGAAGTTAAGGTTCCGATGACCCTTGAGGCTTCAGGTAAGTTGGGGTTCAGGAGTTTGGGCTTGCAGTGCTAATCGATCTGTCTATCTATCTTTGCTTTTGTGCGGGGAGGGTGTGAAGCCTGTCCATTGGGGATCCTCAACCCAATGCAAGTTCCCAGGAAGAAGCTTATGATGTTTGCCACTAGGCATAGATTGCATAGATGTATCGAGAGGATGCCTGTGGTGAACTCCGACTACCACCGGACGTGCACAAAGCGGGATTGTCCATGACGCCTTCTCACTGCTGAGTTCGTTTCTCTCATGCCTCATGTCGTGACTCTTTCGTTGAGGAGGAGACCTTGAAGTGTGCAGCAAGCTTTGCATCATACTGAAATCTGCAAGCTGCCAGTGTCCAACCGATCCCAAGATCTCCCTCCATCCTCAAGCCAACAGCATTACGCATGCTGGAACCCCAAACCCTCAGCAGCCTCTAAGATATCAAAAACTCTGCACCCTCTGCAGCTCTGAACATACTAAGCGCCTGCACCCTCAGAATCTCTCAAGGATCCGAAAAGGGCCAAAATCCCTAAACCATCCTGAACCCTCAACCCTCAGCAGGGCTCCAGGCTGAACGTTTCGAATATCGATTTCGGGGCAGCATGACTGCAAGATCTTCTCCGTCCCGAAGGTATCCTTCCAACTATGCAAAGCCGCAGTTCTTCCGCACTTAAAGATGTAGGGTTTCTTTGCTTCGGGGTTCGGAGCTCAGGACTTGGGGATGGGGCAGCCATCGCCAAACCTGCGCAGGTGTTCCAAGTTCTAAGCGTTCTCTATGGAACCCGATTATACACTCTAACTGAAGGCTTAAGTAGCCTTAAACTAAGGCTTGTGTGGGGTTCAGGGCTGAAACGCGCAAACATCGGCTGCATTGTTCGTCTCAGAACGTTCTTGGCAACATCTCGACTGCTGACTGTTTTATGGAGTGTGGCTCCGTGGTACGATGGCTCGTCATGCTGGAAGGCGCGGTATCGTTATTGCCAGCATCATCGTGAAGTACCACCAAGAAGCATTTCAGTCCTGCTTGTCTATCGTAGCGATCACCTTGCAGTACTTCGAATACTCGCGCAGCAGGGACAGGTGGTAAGTCGGCCAACCCAAAGACGCATTCAGCCATGGGTGTACCTGCCACGGAGAGCCCGACGGGTCAAGTTGCAAGAGAGAGAGAGAGAGAGAGAGAGAGCTGTCCCGAAGCTGCGACTGTTTGCTGTGATTTCTTCGACGTGTTCTTCCGATCATCTCTCCAACAAATGCTACTGCTACTGTTGGACTTTCAATCACAACTGTTTCGTGCATCACGTCCGGAGTGGCCTAAAGTGCTCTTTTCGGGAGGGCCTTGCTCCACAGCACACATTGCCAGTTGCGCCGGGGAAGCTCCTTGGCGGCATCTGAGTCCTCCAAGAAACTGCTGCTGAGAAAAAGGGGTTCTGCAAAGGTTCAATTGGGATGAAACATCAGAATCTGCACAAATGGCACGGCAATACACCCGAATTGTCCAATCGTCCTCTGTGCGGCTGGCGACCGTGGCCGCGCCCAGAAAGGTATTTCGAGGGCTGAAGCCTGTCTCAGTCAAGAAACCTATCTGCAAGGATCTAAGGCTGATAGAGCTGAGCCTTTGCATCCTTGTGACAGTGACGGGCCGAGCACCTCTGCAAGCCTGGTCTGAACTCATGACGGCATTGGTATTCCTTCAAACAAAACCACATCACTGCTTTTGTAAGTTATTTCTGTTCACCCCACTTTGTTCTCAGACCAGCCTATTCCTCCCTCTCTCCCTCCCTCCCTCCCTCCCCCACGGACTCCCGCCTGGTATCAAGGTCAGGAAACGATGAAGCGGGTAGTCCTTCCAGCCACAGTTTGTAGCAGAAGGTCGCCACAAGCACTCAGGGTTGTTGCAGTTTCAGGCTTAGGATGGCCCCACGGCGAGAAGCTTCAGTCCCGAGCCTAACTGGACCCATCTCTCCCGAAAAAGGCGCTTAGAGACAGTCCGTCAGAGGCCGGATGCGTCCCCAGAATTGGTGATCCAGCACCGTTCCGTCGGTCCCAAAGGTGTCCTGGCAGGTTCTGCGAGGGGCTGGCCCTCGCTGACTTTGGCTGGCCAGCTGCACTCACGGTCTCTTGCTTTTTGCACATCACATATTGTCCGAAGATAGTTTATGATAGTTAGTTTATGATCGTATATCACAGTACGGCAGTCTGCATGTCAAGACTGTACTCCGCCCCGTTCGGTCCAAGAGCCAGGTCTTGTCAGAAGGAGGCAAAGCATCCATCGACTTGCCTCCATGGACCTCGCATCCGAGAGACCATGAACAGTGGCTCAGTGGCTACCGCGGCAGACTTCCGGGAAGGCGGCCCCATCGTAGTCTGTGAAGATGAGATCGGTCTTGCGGTAGATTTCTGCAGGGAACGCGCTGGAGCTGCGCGCCATACCTACCTGACACTCCTGCTGTGATGCTATCCGTCCGGCAGCGCTTCTTGACTCTGTGTGAAGTAACGGCCACTACCTTGACCCCTCTGCCTTGGTACAACCTACTGGGCGAGAATCCCCTTCCGGCCGCGGCCTGGCATTGGAATGTGATGCCTTCCATAGGGCCAAAGGTCCACCTGCCGGAGAAGGTGCTCTGCTACGTTCTGAAGAACCCCCGAAACCACAGGCCCTGCATCGTCTTCTGTTGCATTACATACCACTACCACTAAAAGACAGTGGGTATGTCACAGGCAGAAGCATTGGGGTGGCGCACCTGGCGGTCCTGGTGCCTCTTAGCCACCCTTGTTGTGTAGAGTCGACTCGCCGCAGTACGTACAGGCATGCCACTGAGACGGATCCTGTGTTGTCGGTGAGCCTCCTGACCGAACGCCCAGTACTGGTCACAATGCTATCCGACTCCCGACGCCATACCAGTAAAGCACACCTCAACCCCCAAAAACCCGAACGACAAGCAACCTTGTGATGAACACAGCTCCTAAGACACAGCACCCTGAAGCCTGAAGTGTTGGGTTTCCACAAAGAATCAAGTTTAGAGTCCTCTTGGAGCAGGTAGGCTACAACACACCCCGGAGCCTGGAATAGCATGGAATACTGGGGGCTGCTGCGTCCACACTTTGCTCGCGACTGGTGCACGGCTAACAGGCTTAAACACTGGTAAGCCAACAAACACGGTCTATCAGGGCCAATGTGGGGCCCCTTACAGTAGTCTTTTGCTTGGGGGAGGGGGGTTCGGTGCAAATCCAAGCCCACTCCGAGATACACAACCAGTTTGTACGGACGAACAATGGCTCCAAGTCAAGTCCAATGGGAGGCTTTCCGCAACCCTTGGTTATGGTATAGCGGATAGAAGCCCAGAGCGCTGAACCCTAAGCCCTAAAGCGCAGCAGACACCAGCCTTGACGCCGAGGGTGCAAAGAGCTGCACAAAGATCGGCCCACCTTCGAACAAACTTGCTCTGAGCGGTTCTGGGGGCCTATGGGTCTTTGGAGTGCAGGCGGCACCCTAAACTTATGGCAACTGCAATGGCTTTTGCCTTGTGCCTTGCGGCTTGTTGCTTTGAAGGGTCAGGTGTAAGATTGCAAAAACAGTGGTTATCATGAAAATAGTTGCTGCGACTAGTATTCGTTTCACAACTACACGTAGGATAAACTGTGACCAGTAGACAGCATGTCATCAAGGTGACTCTCACGGTTATAAGCTTGTGGTCTCTCAGCTCACTTCATGCATATCTTGGCTTCTCTTCTGATCGTTGCCCTACTCGTACCATCTACTCTTGCTCCCGCACTTGCTATTGCTACGGACAATCGAGGTGTTGCGGATGCCATTGCAAGCACCAGTACTGTACCAGGACGAGGGCTCATGTTACCTGCATTGTTGCCTGCACATGCGACTAAGACTCCGGCTGCGTATACTCACCCAAACTCCAGACTCGCTTCACCTGAGAGGAATCACAAGGGGCGCAGGTCTTCGAGGTCTGGTCTTAACTTGTGTTACAAGTCCGAGCTTCAGAATTTGATTTCGGATCGGTAGCAGGATTTGGCACTGCCTTTTGTTCTGTTGGCGACCATGGTCCGAAAATCGGCACAGTCAGCCCAACTGTACGGGCTCTATCTTTCGACGCAGCAGAACATGTAATCGACAACCCTGGAACGATTTCTTCAACTCCCCTTCTGAGCCAAGAAGCCCCGAAGTGGAGGTAGGCGGCTTGCGGCCAGACCAAAGCAAAGGGTCCGTCATGAACGCCTGCTAGAGTGCAAACAGGTCCTTGCTCTCAAATGACCGGGCTTGGAGTAAAAAAGGGTTGCCCAGCATAGCGCAACTCAGAATCAGAAGCAGGCTCTGGCTCAGATTCGTGGGGCTACGGGCCCTCAAACCGCTGGGGCTTGCCAGATCTTCCCGCATGATTTCGCAAACAGAACAGAAGCCCAGCAATTTGACACGTTAGTTGCAGGAGTACACTCGTGCTATCACTGACACCGAGCTTTCGTACATTTCGTCGTGGCTTCGAGGCTAGGTGGGAATAGATGAGCCGTAGGCAATGTGCGCGAAACCTGTTGAGCTGCGCGTCGCGAATTAAGCCATGAGTCTTCAACCCTGAGGACCCGAGCCCAAACCCCGTTCTGCAAGCAATGTTGTGATCCAGCAGCGGAGCTCCAAAGGATAAACCTCCACCAAAGCAGGGCCCACACTCCCCTATTCAAGGTCTGCACCGCAGCTCACCTTGCTTCGAAGGCAGCATCGAGGGCCCAAGCCGCACCAGACTCATGAGCCAAGCCTCTCCATACCGGCGGCTTTGGAATTGCATTGAAATCACAATGTTTATAGTCGCACAGACGGCGCAACAAGATCCTCAATGTCCTGCTGCCAGCCCTGCACCTGCTGCTTACTGCTGCTTCTCCTCACGATACCACAAATACTAGCACTTGTCGTCGTAGTACAGTAAGTAGGAGTCGATCAAACAGATGCAATCTCTGGCCTCAAGGCGGGAGCAAATCCTGCTCCGCATGTACTGCACCTCCAGCTGGTTCTCTTTAGCTGGGAACTCCGCTATCCCTACAATCAAACCCATGGAAGAAAGTAGGTTTCCTGAGCTCAGTGGCCAGCGACCAGTGGAATCTCACATTATGAAAGTAAGGGCTCTGCACGCCTACCATGCCCTGCCTGAATCTTGCCGTTCAGAAGCCTGCATTCAATTCTTTGGATATCGTGCTCAAAGGTGTCGGGAGTTCTCAGCTGAGCTAGGAGTACCGTTTTCAGGTCAGGGCGGGGCTTCGGAGTTTGAGACTCCAGCAGCTCGGCAGGCGAGCTGTTCCAAGTTGCTAAGAGCCTTCTCCCAAGACTAGACTAGACCCCATCCCTGAGCCCGGCCGAGCACAAAAAACTCCCCGGATGGGATCTCGCCTCCGAAAGGCTTGCTCGGCTCGACCAATCGCAAGATCGAGGGCCTGGCAAGCAGGGAAGAAAGCTGCCTTGAGAAACGGACGTCGAGAGTTCCGGGTGTCAGCGCACAGGCTGAATGCAAGCAGTCGTTTGAGTGGGTCCAGAGGCTTGTCTTGAGTACACAGATGCCTTCTCTGCAACATTGCTGAGAGTAGAAAGACTATGTCTTTGAGCCCTGTATTGCTTGAGAACCTGAGATGTGTGTCCGTGGTGTTTCTACGGGCCCTTGAGTCAGCATCTTCGTATAGCCCATAGCCATGCAAGATCTACGCAATATAGAACATCTGCAGCTCAAGGGCACTCCACGCTTCTTCGCTCTTCAGGTCACCTCCAGCCGCTGACTCCAGCCCCTGCAGAAAACCTTAAATCCTAAACGCGAAAACCTGAACTCCAACCTGAAAAGTGGCGGTGCCTGTGCTTGCGGATGGCCCTCCAGCTTGGCTCGCACCTTTCAACACGGGAGCCATTGTGATAAACTTTGTGCATCTCCAAGCTCCAGGGTGTTGGGGATGTAGCGGATCCGCTTAGCCTGAAACTTAGCACTCTCGTCCTGAAGCTTGTGACACGACCTTCACACCCAAGGGCGTGTGCGTGGCAGAGGGAGGCAGATCCCCTTCCCTGACCCACGCTGGCCAGTGATACCTGGATAATGGGCAATATTGGTCCTTGGCTTTCCCCTAGTATGTGGCCGATTGACCGAATCTCCGTTGCGCGCTAAACGCGTGCGCGATGAACACCTGGACGGCGGCTTCTTCAGCAGCTTTTGATCTGAAGGCACACTCGCACATCCCTGCAGTGTCCGGGTACCGGGAGGTCTCCCCCCCCCTGGCTGCAACCCGGGATCTCTACGGCACTCCTGGATTTTGCAAGGTCTGCACCTTGTCGGTGGTTGCTTGCCGCGCTTACTTCTTTGCCTGTCTTGCCTGGCTCTTTCTTTCTCCTTGCTTGTAGTTCCTGTTCTGCTTGGTGCTGTGGTTCTTCCCACTCGTTCTTCACTGCAGCGTCAGGATAGAAGGATCTCACGCAGAGCTGCTCCCGGCAACCGCTGGTACCAGTATTTCACGACAACGTTTGCTGTTGCGGTCTACGCGGAATTCAGGCTTGATCGTCTTAGAAAGAGATGCTGAGTGGGCGAACCTTACTCTCATGAAGAACTCAAAAAGAAACGTCCATGCAAGAAAATCCGACTGAATTCTTCAGGGCTTGTTGACACAACACCATCGAAGTCTACTGCACCCAGCCTTTCGAGCTGCCTGCCGCGCTTCCGCCTGACATGTGGCTTTGTGAAAGGGTCCTGGCTGTGGGTTTCAAAACTTGCTTTTGGAACATAATGAAAGGACGGCTGCACCTTTCCTCACCTCACTCGTGCACAACTTGCCTCTCCACATTGGGGTGGAGGCGGTGGCGGGGCTGGCGCTGCGGAAGCCTCGGGCTTTGCAAGCCATCTCCACACAGCTGGCCCACTCGCGCTGCGGCCGCTGCGAGTTTAGCACGGCTGCAGGCTGCTGCAACAGGTGACAGGGGCACTTTGAACAATGGACCAACAGCCGGCTCTGCCTGGGCTCCCGGATGGGGTGGAGGCGGGGCCCGCGGCCGCTGCTCCTGGCGGAGGTTGTTGCTCCCGGTCCCGGGGCTCGTAGGATCCTATAGTTGTAACAACTCGCAACCCCACGGCAAATTATGCGAATACCCTGGCCAGAAAACATCATACCTTGGCCCGGGTCTTCTCTATAAGGACCACGACAAGCAGAACACGAAAGGAGCGGATACTGTGCCCCCAAGCCGCAAGGGAGCAGGGACTCGAAAAGTGCCATACAATCGTGCATTTTCTGGCATTATGTATTTGGCTCGCTGGACAGTATTGCTAGGGTTTAGGGTCTAGATGAGTTTAGATGGGCTCGTCATCATACCGTCGCCTCAACAAAGTGCGTAGAGAGTGTTGTTGTTTCTCACATCTCACGCCAGGCAACATTGACGGCAACAAGGGCAACCATTGCCGTGCGGAGTCCCCGCAGCAATAACTGGCTGAGGAGGATGCAGAAGAAAGATACTCATAATATAGGGCGAATCAGAGCTGGTAGTGAAAGAAGAAGACCTGAAAGCCTACTACTACATGGTTTGTTGATCACATCCTGTTGCAGCTTACTAGTGCAACTCTCATATATCACTACGTATCTGCAGTCGCATTCTTTCAGAGGCCAGAGATAGCGGATTGGTCGTAGGATGGGCTTCAAAGATGTAAATTGTCGGAGTCCCCCACAAGCTCAGCAGCCGGCAACTGGCACGAGCTTAAAATACGAAGACTCTTGCTCGTGTAGCACATGAAACTGAAAACAGATTAGACCCTTGCCTGCGCATTCGTCGGAGGTCTTCCTCGAAGCCCACGATTTTCTTGGGACTGCCTGAACGTCATGACTCATCTCTTAAACTGATCGGAGCAATCCGCTGTCCGGAAACTTCAAGGTACAACGACGCGTCGCAGAGACTTCGATCTGCCGTCTCCCACAAATGGAAATGTCCAAGAAGATTGGAAGCCCAGCTACGGCACCGCTTGCGGAAGCCCCGGCGCTTCTTGGACGCTCCGGACTACCTGCTCAATTGTGGAGTTGACAGAAGTCAAGGACAAAGTATATAGTTGTTGGGAGCATGTCCGGTCTGAGGACACTGGCCCCTGACCGAAGGGGAAATTCCTCTTGGCTCTCCTTCCGACCATCATCCTTATTCTCGTCATCATCATCCTCACCATCATCAGGAGAACCAGGACCGTCGGTTTCAAAACCTGCAGTTCGTCCGCGCCTGCACCGGCCGCCCCGGAATGCCGCTTTTCGGCACAGCCTCCATGGAAAACGTCACGTAGACACACTTGTGACAGCTCGCCATCTTGGGGAGTACACCTGTACTGAATGCAAAAACCTGTATGGGTAGACAACACCTAGACTGCAGGGTTCAACACTTCAGGTTCCAAAGGCTCTCGAGCAACTCTGTGCCACACGGGGTTTGTCTCCGGTTCATGAAACGGCTTGAAGTTTGGGGGTGTCAGGGTGGCCAAGACATCCATACAGCATGATTCGACCGAATGGGCTGACACGTCAAAAAGGCAGTTGTCCGCCCCTCTCTTCACTGCGAAATGCTACGTCAAACCCAATGCCGAAGCCCTGCGACCCTGAAAGCCTGCGGGAGGCCAGCATGCTTCTGCCCATTGAGGGCGGCAGCCTGCAAGACGAACACGCACACCGATCTTCTGTCGAGCTGCTTTTGGCCCGGATGGCTTATGCTTCGACAAGCAATGGCAACACGACACGAGAAGCGCCATGCCGCTGCGCGATGAAACTGGCCATGCACACGCGGCTCATCGGGCCTGTGGCTGTTGGCGCCCTCTGTCTTGTTGCACCACTGGACTCTGCGGGCTTTTCGGCACGGCTTTTGGAAGGCCAACGCGGGGGGACGGAGAAGTCCGAGCTTCCTGCAACGGCAGGATGCAGGATGGAAGCAGCCTGCGGACCTACCATGTGATGCCCGAGCAAGCACGCTTTGCTTGCCTCGGATTCTGGTGACTGGGGAGAAGCTCTCTTGACGATCGCCTTGGGCAGGCCAGCATGGCTCTTCCCACTGTCTCGAGCCTGAAACAGACCAGGGGATCGCTGTCTTGCAGCTGGTGGATATGCCATGCTGGAGTGTCACAGATGATGCTTCTGAACGGTCCATGCCATGGCGTAAACGTGCCTCGTCTTGGCCTCTGCTCTGTGGTGAAGCTGACCTCCTCGGAACCGCCGGCGGAAGTCCGACATGGTACGGGTCGCTTCCAGTGTGCGACAGGGTCCGATCCTGCACACTGCACACCACTTTGGACTCTTCGTGCTCGCACGAACTACTGACTCGCCTCCATCTCCTTGCCCGGCGCGATGGAGGAGGCTTGGGGGAGGCCTGTGGCGACACCGCTTGTCAGACCACCAGCAGCCGTAGTGGAGGAGATTGACATCCCAGTCGCCTCGAACAACACATGGAAGCCGGTGCATCCTGATGCAGTGCCAAATTGAGAGGTCGACCCGTGCCAGAAGCTGGCTGGCAAAGCTCTTCAGTCGCCTGAAGCACGGCAGAAGCGTCAGAAGGATGTCAGGTCTGCAACACAACACAGGGCAGACTCTGGATCGGCAATGCGGTCACGGGCCAGGCGCACATCCCCAGAGGCAACTTCAGCTGGCGGAGAAGTTCACCCAATAACTAGGAACGTACTTCTATAGTCTTGACTCTTGACTTACAGTAGCAGCAAGTTGGAAGATGCGCACCCAAGTTTGCAGCACCCTGTAACATGGACAAAGCAGGTCTTCCAACTTTTCGTTCTTCCAACTTTGAAATCTTCCAACTTTTGCGCCTTCACTTCCAGAGATGTGCGTGGATTTTAATGGGGAATAGTAAAGTTGGAAAACTGCAATCTGCGGTCCCGAAAATAAGGTTAACTGAGGCTATGGTTAAGGAGATGCCTTCTAACCTGGAAAACGGTGGTCCAACGTCGAGACCTAAAGTTGGAAGATGGGACCCAACCAGACCCAAAGTTGGAAGATGCCCTTGCCGCATCAACCGTTCCAATTGCCGCCTTCCAACTTTCCGGCGGCTACCATAAAGTAAGAAGGTAGCTGCTTTGAAGGCAGAACTACGAAATCATAACCGCCTAGAATACCAGATCTCACTTCTGTCTCTTCAGCGGTTGACGACACCCAGTGCAGGCGCCTCGGTGTAGGGGCGGAAGCCTTCTCGACCCCAGCCAGGACAATGTACAGGCTGATAGAGGAGGTGACCTGCTGGTTTAGGGGCTGTGAGATTCCCAGGCATGCGCAGATTGTAAACATGACAATGGTTTTTCCAGTTTTTCATAATTTCTGGTATCGTTCGGGGCTTCTTGTTCTCTTCATCCTGTATTCGCTCCTGATTCCATCATCATTTTGGTAATCGTTTCTGGCTTCGTTTTTATGCTGTTGTTTTACTCATTCCTCTCTTCACCATTGATTCCTGCATCATCTGCTCATCATTTCCGATCTGATTTTGAATTTCATCCCTGCATTCCAGTATGACTCCTTTCATCACCTCCTTCGAGCATGATCTTGTCTTCATTGTGCCGCCATACTTACATCCTACGATGTCCACGCATTGTGTCTGGTGTCGTACACTTCAGTTCTCATTCGGAAATGGATATCCAAGTCGTTCATCATTCATAAGCTTGGCATCTTGAATCACTGTCACCAAAAGGTAGAAGCTGGCACAGCAACTTTGATGTATTTCTGGTTCCCACTGGCGTCCACCCCCACCCACCCGTGCGACAACCACACCCACCACAACACATACAAGAAACAAACCCAGCGCCGTAGTCAAAGAGAAACAAAACAAGCCTGTAACAGAATGCAGCAATGAAGAGTGAATAGCGACCGAACCGACCATGCACGTGATAACCAGAAGCAGCATGCGATGATCAAACACCAGAACAGGCCGCAAGAGAAACGAAGATAGAAATGAGGGCCCGCAGCGGTATGGCAAACACACCGAATAGAACAACGATGGGCAGAAAAAAGATGGAAATGAAGCGCAAACACAAATGATATACGAAACGAAGAGAAAATGATAAGCAGAACGAATCCGAAGGGGAAATGCTAAACACACAGAAGATGGTAATGACGGGAACAAGCGGGACGGACATGTCAACGATGAGCAACTTGAGGATGATATGGGACATATCTTTAGTTCACATCGCCCCAGTCTCTCCATTCATGAATCTCATAACTTTCGGGTTTTGGGAGCAGACATGGAAGTTTCCTTTTGTTTTCATGAGTTCTTGATAAAGTTTCCAATGCGTTCTTCAGGGTTTAACGGGGTTTATTTAAAAAGCTCGCGAGGTTGTATGGTGTCTGTAGTACAATGGTATACCTACCAGTACGGTCCCTCTGACAGCACGGGGCGAGAGGGTCAATAATTCGTCGTCAAAGGCAATTCATACCGCAAAGCTTTGTTGGGCTCGTGGAGGTCTTTAGGGCTTAGGGTTTAGGGGGTTTTGGTTTAGGTTACTTCAGCAGCTGAGTTGCGAGATCAACAAACTCCAGTGTTAATTTCGTTGGAAAGCCGAGAAACCACCCACAGTACCAGAGTGGCGAAGCGACTTCTGTTTATTGCTAGCCTTGGGATTGTTGTCAGGACGTCAGGACGAGAGAAAGGCAGATGAGTGTTTGACCCTGGTGATGACCATGGCAGTTGCGATGTTGATGTCGATGATGATGGAAGTGGTGATAGCACTGACTACGATGATGAAGAGATGCAGGATCAGCAGTGATGGCGATTGTCATGGCCATGATCAAGACTGTGATGTTGACTGTGATGATGGTGATGAGGATGATGATGACGATGCCGCATGATGACGATGGTGACAACCCTAAACTCTCAACTCGAGAAACTACACCTAGAATGTTTGCACGGTGCTCGTGATATTAGCAAAGCTGATGGCCGGGCTCGTGATGGCTCTCCTATTGTGGCCCACCGTGACCAGGAGCAGCGCGAATAGAAAGAACATGACCTCGGGCTGGTGTGCAGGATTTCGGCTGTCTTTGAACTTGGGGGAGGGAGGCCTAAGGATGCAGGATTTTCAGCTCCTTGGATACCTCCTCGTCTTCCTTGTCATGCAAACGAGTAAGTGGTCCTGGAAAAGAGAAACCTTCCAAACACGTAAGGTCGGGTTCCAGAGCTTGTGCAATTGATGGCTCCAATCAAGCGGCAAACATCCTTCATGAAGGGAGTAACTTCAGAGAAGCTGCTTCCTGCCTACCAATCACCACAAGCATCCCTATCACCATCAGCACCATCCCATCCTGATGGTCACAGCTCCACTCAAGATGGAGAGGCCAATGATGCTGACACTCATGTTGACACTCTTATGGCGGGGATGGAGAGGAAGATGCCACTAATTGTTTATCTGCTTGTGACTTCTTGCCCCGGGCTCTTGTCAAGGAGGTCGGCTTCGCGCACACTAGCACGGGCTCTTGTTAAGGAGGTCGGTTTCGCGCACACTAGCACAGAACACGAAGCGAGATCCGAATCGTCTGGGAAACAAGCGAAACTCAACTAGCCTGGCGAGGGCCGGCTCGAGTGACAACCCCCCGAACCCTGCAGAAACTGGCCAATCCTGGCAAGCATGCGTAGGGAGCCCGAGTAAGAAGCACGGTTTAAGTTACCGCAAGAAGGACAGGAGATTCTGTACGATGTATCACCGTGATGTAGGGCCGTAGTATTTAGACTAGGGTTCGGGCTAAAGCATGCCGGAGCTGTATGGGGAATGTCAAGGACCAACCTTTGCTAGACTAGGTGCAAGGCCTTTCTTCGACAAGCAACACTACGACAAAGTTGTTAGTCCGGGCAACAAGGTTAAGCTTCATAATATATGAGCCCCAAAAGGTTAAAGGTTACCTATTCAGCCCCTAAGTAGTTCCTAAACCCCTGTAATCAAGACTTCGGGGATCCTCGCGAAATCGGTCCTCCCAGGCTGCCACGAAGGCTGGCTCTTCCCTGTCTTGGGGCGGTCTAAGGATTGGAAGGTAGGCTGAGGAATTTTTGGGTTGCTTGGGATTTGAATGTTCAGGTTGTGGGGTGAGGGTTATCGGATGTGGGGTTGTGGGATTCAAACTCTTAAGTGTGCAGAGGACTTTCCTCTATACGCTTCTGTCAAGCCTGTATATCAAGCATGCACTCCAAACGTCATTTTTCTTAAGAGCGAGTTCAAAAAGGATTGTGGGTTTCGACATTTGTGAGTTCAGGATGTTGGAGTCAATTGCGGGTTGTTGCGTGCTAATGGTCTGGATGTCGTGATCTTTGATTTTGAGCTGTCTTGGTCCTAGGCAGTCTACATACAGGCGCCAGTAAGTATGCAAATCAAGCGATGTAGGACTTCTCAGTAAACTGCACTTGTACAAGACGACCTCCTGCACCGCAAAGCCGAAAGCCGCTCGCAGGTATTCGATGTCATTTGAGTGCGCAAAGGTGCATCAAGCATCCCCACGTAAACTGTCATCGCGATCATCATAAGGCCAACCGGCGAAATGACAAACACCACAGCCTCAAGCATCCGGAAGCAGAACAAAGGACCCAATCCCTCAACCCAAAACGCCAACTGTGAACCCCTCTCGCCGCTCGCAACCCAAAGCCTAGACCCCAGACCCTTAAAACACCCAAGCTCCCACATCTCTGACCTCCTCTTCGGCCGCTGTCCCTTGCGCTGAGCTTCTCGATTCCTGGCCTTGGGGCCAGACACACTGATAGTGACAATCAGCACAGACATGTACAAATACGGTTGATGAGAAGCTAAGACCACCGATGACTGTAACGGGCGTAGTCCGATGCAGCAGCAGCTACAGTGATTCTACTGTTGCTTCGAGGATGAAGCCTAGAGCTGGGGCTTATTTCGGGAGTGTGTTGCTCGTCTGCGATCAACTGATTACGGTGATGAACCCGAGTTGCCAAAGCAAGAGCTTGCAGTGCAGTTATGATGATGCTTATGATGGCGACGATGTTTCTCATCATTGTTGGATCAATCTTCATCTGCCGTTCCCCCTTCGCAACCGCTCGCGCGATGATCAGCTCTTGCTACTGGCTCGACTTTAGCTTAAGTTCGGGATTGTAGGCTCGTGGCGCCCGCTTCTGCGCACCGCGCTGTCCAGGCCATGGCATTCTAAGAACAGACAACGAAAAGGCAAGACCCGCAGAGCCACGCTGACTAGGTCCTGTGGTCTTTGAGCTGCCTTTGTTTTATGGCTGTAATGATTGCGAATGCAAGAGATGCCCCCAAAACAAGCTGCTAGTTTCCTGGGAAACGACGAAAGCTTTCCGGCAGGTTGACTTCCAAGACTTCAGTACTGACCCAGTCATAGCTTCCAGGCGAACATGCCTGCATGTTGTGGCATCTTTTTGGTGATATGGTCACTTGGCCCAGGACCATGCTACGGCTTGGCCGTTGCGTGGAGTTCTGGTGCGACAACAAACAAGCTCTCAAGCAAACCGGCTGCAAGCGAGCTTACGACACGGCCTGTGGTAGGCCGTGTTCCTCTGCTGGACGTTCTGTTTCTGTTGCTCTTGGCATGTTTTATCGTAGCTGGTACTGTTTAGTGACTGATGTAACAGACCTAGCTTCCGCAGAGCCCCCCACGGGCTCTCCGTTCAGCTTTGTCTCTCAACATCAACGGGCACCTCCATCTCTTTGTCGAAGGGCACGGCTGCTCCGGCGAATCCCAGCTGCACCAAATTTAGGGTACTATCTTTCGGTCGAATTCACTTAGCTGTACTAACCCGGCCCGCCTTCGAAGATTTCCTGCCTGCGTAGCAATTGCATAATACAGTTTTCATTCTACGCAGAAGGAGTCTCGCGGGTCGGTGTTGGCCGATGTCCCTACGTCAGGTTTATTAACCGTGCTAGCCCACATTCACACAGCCGCCGACGACAGCGGCACCATACCATCACATTGATTAGGCCCTGCTCACACAACTCCTCTTCTGCTTGACAAAAATGACAAAACATAGGAGGACTGCGGTTGGAAAGGCGGCTACACTACAGTACAGCACGCGAACCTCGCAATCTACCTCGCATGGAGAACTGGGAAAAACCAAGTCCACCCCCCGCTGGTCGGAGAGGGCTGGTGGCCGGCAGCATACTGAGCAGATGCTAGACTCACCAGGGTCGAGTCGCTGAAACCCGAAACTATGCTCCAAGCTGGATCAGGGTTCTGCATGATCTGCTCAGAACCACTGAGTTAATCAGGCGCATGGATCAACACATCACTAATAGAACAGTTTCAGTGATGAGAAAGACAACATGCAGCTAACAATCGTGCCGGCGCTGAGCACCGTCAGGGGCAGCATGAATACTTACCTGCTTGAAGCAGAAACACACACGTTCTATGCTGCTGTGTACTACGGTATCACTTGTTCTGCGTAGTTTGTTCCGGATTCAAGGACATGTATGCATGCACCTGTCGGTTGGCGCTGCCTGCTTGTCGGGGTCAGGCCAAAGAAACGGGTATAGGGTAAAAAAAGTTGCATAGTAACTAGATGTGGCTATCCAGCCTGAACCCAGACGGTGAGTCTCCTGCATGTCTGCGCATGAGAGATGCAGCAAACACGTGTATTTACAGTGGCCTGCGACGGCCGAAAGGCCATTTCATGAGGCGCTTCGCTGTGGCTAGCAGGATTGCGGTGCTTGCATACCGAACAACTGTGTCAACACGTCAGCATGACCATCTTGGGTTGGCACAGGTACGCATACATACATTTTGTCAGTTCAACAGAAAACATGCGGATTTTAGGCTGTATTCCTGCCTGCGGACGCCCCCTGCGCTCACGTTCCCGGCTGCTTCGATGATGAGATACTGCAGAAGTCGACGTCCAGCATCCACCGCATGAGCAGTAGAAAGTTCGGAAAGTCTATCCTTGCCATGGCGGGGGAAGGGCTACGGTTCCGGGTCGTGCAGGTTACTTGGGTCCTATCTCACAGAGCATTTCTCGGCATGGCACGGCTTACCTGCAAGTCATACAATGAGCAAACCCCAATGCCCCTTGTCTGGCAAGCTGCCCCTTCTGTGCTTGAAGGGCATTGAGCTGATCGTCCAAGGCTTGTCGGTTTCGTCCTCGCGCAGGGTGCAACTGTTGGTCGGAGCATGAGCACATCGCCCGTCTACCTGGCATCTTGATGGCCGTTCCTGTCTGAGAAGGTTCAAATCAAAGCCTTTGACTCTTGAAGCCTGAAGACTTAAGGAAACCTGAGCCGCCGAAGTAGTCCTTCGAGGCGCATGCCCATGTTTCCTGAGCGTTTCAGCCAGGACTCCAATTTCAGAGTGGTTGGCGGCTTTGGTATATTGAGTCTTCTCAGCAACCACGTCTCTTAGTTGCCCAAGAAACCGTTCAGCCGAACACTGCTCCGAACCCATCCGCAAAACATGCCCCACACAAGCAGACCGACAGCGCAAAGTATGCTCGACGGCAGCCGCGCTTCTGAAGAGCTTGTATACGGCTGTCCTGACGAGATTTAGGACGCGAGCTCTTGGATCTTCATCGTTGAAAGTGCCGACCCTCCGATATGAGGGGCAGCATCTGAGAGCATGACAGCTTCTCAGCAGAACGGTTCCCGTAGCTTGCAACACCACGGCTACCAAAGCTCTCCTTGGTATCTGCTTCGTGTCTGAAGTCACTCCGTCCGTGTAGAGTGAGGACCAACACTGCTCGAAGACCTGGAGATCTGCGGATCTACTAGCAGGAAGTCCAGTAATTCGATTCTCGGCATCTTGGCAAATTACCAGGACCAATGTAAATAATACAAACTTTTCGATCGCTTTTGCGCTGCTAGGACAGCTACATATGAATTACATGGAATTCAACCTCGTGATAATCATCTTCATTGTTGGGATCTTGCTCCTCCTCATCATACCCACGTCGAAAGCGACATCAGTACACCCACCACCCACCGCCACAAGCAGCAAGCTAAAGACTTGAATCAAGATGGTGAGAACACATTTGCTGTAAGCCCCTTGGCCACCTAGGACCATCTCTTCTGATGACAAATCCCTCGCCTTCCTAGCTACGTTTAAGCACAAAGCAGGCAACATCTCGCCTTCTCAACCAGAGTAAGGTCTGAACTTCAAAACAAACCCAGCGAGATCGCTGTAAGAGTATAATTCATAGATCGATAGTAGTAAAAAATACAACAAAAAGCGCAGCATGATAAAACGGATAACACTTGTGGGACTCATTCCTGAGAGGCACTTCCTGGAACTGGTTGACTTCCTGGCAGGTCTTGGAGGCTTTGTGGGATAGGGTGCTTCGGGAGTCAAAATGGGCTCTGAATCAGAAGGACTCTTTGACTTGAAGAGAATTGGTGTAGCGTTGAACCATGACCTAAGCTCACTCCACCGGCCAGAGCCACAAGGGCGGCGTGTGGAAGATCTCAAACCTCCCACCGAAAAAAACACTCGAACTCTAAACCTCTAGCCCCAAATTACTATAGTATATTATACTATAATATACTATATACCATATAGTCTATTATAGTATATGGGTTACGAAGCACATAAGCCTAAAGGCTGCGCCCTAACCCACCCCCCTCCACCCCACTCCTGCGAGTTGAACTTCACCTCTTCGCAGACTGACATCAGGCGCCGCTCCTTCTCTTCATCCTGGTCACCACAACCCGGAGACGATGAGATGCAGAGACCCTTCTTGAAAGCAGCCACTACCTGAATCTAGGACTTGCGGATGTTCCCAAAGCATACTGTATCCAAGCAGGAAGCTGTAGGACTCGGCTGAAACTGCACGGATGAGGGATTTGTAGGCTTGTGATGTTCAGTCGGGAAGTGGGGAGTGAGGTTCACGATCCAAGCCTGCCATTGCCAATTGCAGGCAAGGCAGCCTAGCTTCGGCGCTCTGGCAATTACATGAAAAGACGGCGCTCCCCTCACCTGAAAAATGCCAAGCCTGCTTCCGCTTCATGGCCCGAAAGAGCTGCAAGAAGACCCAGAAGTTGACCTGGCCGTCCACCACGGCCTGGAGAGGTCTCTGGCTTGAAATTCTGAGAGCAGCTTTGAGGAGGATTGGGGCTCTCAAGCACCTTTCGGACACTTAGGCTCTAGCTCATGGTTATTTGGGCTGCTCAGAGCCATGCTGTATGCTGTGGCGAGGTATCTGCAGCGTGGTGTGGCATGTAGCTGAACATACTGCTGACCACAGCTACGATGACGGCTACCACTACGACGAGGATCGCCACCACTGTGACGACAACGACGGCTACCACTTCGAGTAGTAGTGGTGTTGGTGAAGCTCGTCTTGCGACTTCTTCAAGTAGCAGCTTCAGCAAGAGTTTCCGGCCATCACCACACCCAAACCCTAAACCCCAAACACTAGTTTTGCCGAGAGAACCCGAGCTCCCAAAACAGCTGAACTCTTTTCATCGACTCCACACCCCGGCTACCAAGCCCAACAGGAGCCCCCCAAGAGCCTAAGAGTTACAAGTAAAGCTGTAATCCTGTTAGTCAACTGTCTAACCTGACTCCTTTCTCTAGAGAGATGGAACTGAAAAAGAGAAATCTAACGTGACTCCGGACCGCTGGGCGCAGCAGAAGGACGGATGTTCCACGCCTCGGCACCTGCCTCCTGCGCTTCCTGGCACGCCGTGGCGATCCTCGGCGAGTCCAAGGGGCTTTGGGCCTCGATCGTTTTGGGGTCTTGGAGACATTGGGTTTAGGTTAATAGGAGAGGAAATGGCGAGACAAGCTACATGAACTCTTGAAGCAGCGGCTGCACTGTCTGCCGATGCACTTACGATGGGATACAAACAGCCAATACACACATCTGTAACTGAGGAACTCATTCTCCCAGTGTCTCATGCACTACGCAAGCCAACTGACGAGTCAGATATTAAGCCGGCTACCGGATTTGCTGTTGCCCCGATGTACAGGCGAAGGTGCAGACGTACATGCAAGTCGCAGACGTGTAAATGGTGATATAGTAATATAGCAACATAGTAGTGCAGTGAATAGTAACATCGTAAAAAGACACCTATGCCGACAGGCTCCAGGACCGGCAACAAACAAAGCTAAACATCGACATCTTTGACCCATCGTGGGACGTGGGCTATTTTCTGCCAAAGGCTGTGCAGAAAACGGTCAAGGAAGACTATCGCCGACGCCTAGCAGAGCCTAAACATCGGAGACGTTCTATTCCTCTTCTGACACATAAGTCAGCCTCCCTGCTGTCGAAGCTGCTGCTCTGAGAGTGCAATGCGCTCCTCAGGGCAGCTGAGCTCGCAAAGGGGCTATAGTATAGTGGGATTATGACGGTGTACCCCATGTGAAGAGTATGAAGGGATACCCTGAACTGTGTTGTGAGATCCAGACACCGCTCCGCTCCCTGCCTCCACACTTCGGACTTCGATTCCCAGCGACTTCAGCAGCTCTGATGCCTCAGGAGCTCCAGAAGAAACCCCACTTGGGTTTGGGGTTTAGGGTTGAGGCAGTCAATCAAGTCCATTGTCAGGGTCTTGGGCTTGCGAGTTCGGGAACTCAGGCAACACTTTATGGGGGTCCTAAAGTCTTCCTGCTGGTGTTGAGGTTGAACAACCACAGAATGCAAGCCAGGACACCGGCAACAGGATGACTTGGATTTCAGCAAAGGAGGTTGAAATGCCAAAAATGGAGTCGTCGGGGTTCAGTCGGTTCCGTATGCCGCTACGACGTGTAAGTGCGTCACAGGTCTCAGCGAATTCAAGCAACTTTAGATCCAATGGCTTTCAACGGCGGAATAAGTGTGTCGGCCTTACTGTTCAAGGCTTCAAAGGTTCGGCCTTTGGGGTGTCACTGCCCCCTGCCCTGGTTGTCTCGGCTTTCCCATGAAGCCCTTCCGGCGCTGTTCCTCAGGTACTGAGGAAAGGCTGTTGGATTGCACCGTCTCCACCCAGCCCACTTTGCTCAGACCTTTTTCTTTAAGTTTCAACGGAATAGATGGTCTCAAGACTATCGTCATCAGCCTCAAGCAGAATGAACTCCTGCACCCCCTGGCAAACCATCTTGACAACATGTTCCTTTCTATGTGTCTATATGGCTTACTGCAGCGAGTCTTCAGCGGCACTCTTTCCACTATCCCTGCGAGAGCATAGAAAAACCTACACCGAAGTATCTGTAGTGCCTGCAGGAATCAGTTCCAATACTGTGCTCCCAGGCATATTCCTCTGAAATCACCAATCGGCCCATGCTCTTGCCTGCTTAGTTCTTATTTTCCTAAACTGACTATCCCCGCTAATGAATCTTTTGAAAGGGTTTACTCTGCTCTTTGTAAGTGTGACCATCAGTGTCAGGCTCTGGTCAGGAGGCCTCGTTGGGCTTCAGGCTGCCAGCGCGCTTGGTGTCGAAGCTGTCGAAGATTTGTCGGATTTCATTCACCTCCGAAAAGTAAACCCTAAACCCTAAGCCGGAGGCAATGGTGACGGTGCAAGGGGGTGTCAGTCGTGTGGCTGCTCTTCTCCGTAGCAGTTTTTGAACACTAACCATCCTCCTGTATGATTGTCACTTGGAGCTCCTAACCCTGACCACCTGGGTTTGGGGTTGTACTACACTTTCGCTATAATCGGGAACCCTAAGGGATCATGTTGGTAACACGATTATACTAAGTATACTATTGTTGATTCAGGTTTCTAGCCTACGGGCTTTGAGTCTATTTGGACTCTTCTGGATTGGGAGGGCTGCACAGCTGCCTCGGCTTCCCCAAATCCGGCGAACTTTTTCGAAGTCCAGATGAGTCTTTCGCGCATTCGATCCTTGGAAGTCAGAAGCTCTGCTTTGATCAAGCTCTGACCATGCGACGGTGCTGCACTATTCCTAGTCCTGCAGTGGAACCTGCTTCTGGACTGGCATTGTAGCCCTTGGATGCAACAGCTTGAAGAATCTGAAGAAGCACCCCGAAATGCGCAGCGAGAGAGTCACATGAGTGGAGTCGAGCTCTCATGGCCCTTACTCTAAATCAGCCATGCTTCTGCAAGCTCGACCTCGGATGCCACCGGAACAGGACATACGGGAACCCGTGCGAACTAGCGGTAACGTAGCGAGGCTCAGGAGCATCTTCCGATTGCTAATTTGGCGATGGGGCCAGAAGCTTCGAGTCAACAGAGGCATGTTACTACCATATTACTACCATATTACTATCATATTACTATCATGTTCATATTACTATCATATTACTACCATGTTACTATCATGTTACTATCATGTTACTACCATATAACTACTATATTACTACCATATAACTACTATTCCTGAGCTGGTGCCAAAACACAAACTCGTCGAACTCGATCGGCTGATCCTTCGGCGGCCCTTCCTCCGGTGGCAGGGGTGCCACCTGCGCAGGAAGAACTGGGTAAGAATCATGGTAATAATAATAATAACAATATATACATATAGATATATACACACTAATAATAACAGTAATAAGAACAATGGATATATATATATATATATATATATATGCTCAACTTTGAGGTATTCAAGATGGGGATTTTTCGTTGTTGGATTGACATGAACTTTTTTGTGGTGTTCATAACCATGTGCCTCTGCTTGCCTACACGCCAGGTCACAGACAGAGACAGGCATGCATGTATCTACACACCAGCACTCTCTCCAAACGTAACTCAAAAGTTGTGCTCCCTCCAGCATGCCGCCAAGCAGAAGCTGTGATCGTGGCCGACTCGTCGCATGCTGTGCATGTTGTAAGTACATTGGACAGGCTGCTTGGCAGTGGGCAAACCTCCAGAGGTATGCTTGCAGCCCTTGCAGCTATTTGTATTGTCATACTTATGGCAATTGCTACTAAACAAGAGGCAGCAATGTTCCCTTTTTCTTTTCAGATAATGCTCCTGTCACTGCGGTGTAGCCTTCGTTCTGGTTGCGCACAGGGATCATAGCAGTGACAGCTTGGGTGGTGGATTCTTTTCCGGTGCTTGTTGCATTGATCCCTGTAACTGTTGCTGCAGACAGCCCGTTGGGGGGGGAAACCATGGGGTGGGTGCAGCAGCCAAGGATCCGGCATCATCCATCCATCCATGCATCCATCCATACATGGGAGTTTCCGAAAATCGGGGACCCTAATAGTACCCCAAATAGTAGGTTCCTGATTATAAGGACCTCAAAATAAGGTACCCCTAATTTTCGGAAACTCCCACATACACGTTCGAGCTATGAACATGTACGGGCACGCATGCCGTGTTTGCACGTGTGCCTGCATGCGTGGATGGAAGTGAGCGAGCGCTTGTTACAAGCTTGAACCTTGCAGTCCGCACTCACCTCGATGGCTTCGTCTGCCAGCAGTACGTGGATGGCCAAATCCACCTTTGCACAAGCTTCTGATGATGACGATGATGACATGAAGAGGATGATGCTGGCTCCACGAAAGCCTGGTAATGTAGGTGCCTGAATAACCAATTAGAATGGGGTTTTGGGGCTCAATATACTATAGTTTAATAACAAGGAATCCCCCCACATAATATTGGTAGTTCTTTCGGGGCCCAATTGTATATAGGTGCTTGAGAACCCTCCGAAGTCGTCATGGACCCTGGAACTAGAAGCAGGCCTGGCTCGCAGGAATCATCTCGGGACAAAGCTGCCGGTCTGCGTGATTCATAAACACCATCCTTGGAGCTTTAGAGCTTTAGGGCTCGGGGGGACGGTAGTGGTTTCGGGATTCAGAAGGCTTTCGGGAAGGTTGAGCTGAAATTCTTGGACCTCGCGCCCAAGGATGCCGGTGAGGCCTCACATGCTCTGCAGCTGGGCATGTCGCTTGCGATGATGGCAGCATGCTTCTGGAGTCAAAGTTCGGGGGCTTTGCGGGATGGACTTGGGATTGGGGCCCGTAGCAAACCTCTTCACACAGCTCAAGCCCCGATGAGTAGATCCGAAACAAATCCAAGCCCCGGTGCACGGACGCTAAACCAGACCAGCGTCTTGGCTCGCGCCAGCTGCTTTTCCCGGAAGAGCCGGGAGAATCGAATAAACTCCTTAGCAAGTGATGGTTCAGAACTTACATAGCACTTTGGTGCTTCGTTTGGGGCTTTCCGCTCAGGTCAAAATTATTGCAAGTCTTAATGAAGAAACCTCATCTTTGCTTCTGCCAGCGCCTGAAATCTACACAGCTTCACAACACGACCCTAGATCCGGGAGTCTCAAAGCGTGCAATGCTTCTGCTCTCAACTGATAGAAAGAACCCACCTCATGTTGCCAGCGAAGCAGCTCGTTCGTCTAGGACTCCGTTACCGTTGATGTCAACGGCGGACAGCAAGGTGCGAACCTGTTACCCGCGAAACTCGAAACTTTTATTGACCTGACTCTGCCGGTAGACCAATAAGCTTCGGTCGAAACAGTAAAAGCCTCAACCCTATGAATTTTGTGAGCGTTACATTCATGCAAGAGTTCGGCCTTAGGTTAGAGCTCGAAGATGCTCGAAGTGGGGCAAGAGCTTCGGATGCAGCGGGCTCTTACATCCGAGGCTTCTAGAAAACCTTCCCCATCTCAAGGCCAAAGAAAGGGGTTAGCTGTTGGTGTTCAACGGGTCCGGGGGTCGCCGTTTCGGGACTTAAGGGCAGCAATAGTTTTGTCACACACCGTGACAGCAAGACAAATCAGCCTGAGCCCCAAGGTCTCAACTTGTGCACCGGCAAATCCTTTCCGCCAAAAGGGTTTGCAAACCTGCACAAACGACGAAGTAGAAATAGTAATGGCCATAGCAAATAGTAATCAGAAGACTTGTGCCACCGGAGATACCCAAACAGTGAAAGACCACCACGACGACTACCACGGCTACGACAACCAAAAGACCAACAAAATACCGCTCGGAGGCCAAAAGGAGGACTTTGCTAATATGTTTCCCCCAAATACTGGCACATCTCGGGAGCAGCCGACTTTTCCTTCCCCCGCCTGCGAGACCGAGATGAACAACTTGAAATCGTTTGTCCCAAGAACTGCTCCGAATAAAGGGTTCGAGAGCAACAGTGGTAGGTCGTATTATTTAGAGCCCTCAATGCAAAAAAATGGGGCGCATGCCTCAATCTACACTCCCTTCCATAGTGTGACCTCGCTGTTTCGGGAAAAGTGCGCATTCATACTGCTAAGACAACATTGGCGAGCGGCAATGTTATTCATATCTCAACAGTCTGTATAAGGATTAAATGAGCAGACGCTGCGTGTCTCGTGTCTCCTCTCGCCTCCTCGATACGTGGCGCCTGGCCCATCTCCTGGCCAGGTATTCGAAGCTTTCAAAGGATTCAAGGCTTCTGTGACGCACACGGTTCTATGGGGTCTTGCTACGGGTTCTTCTTAAGGGCGAGAATCTTTTCAGGAGCTACGATAAGCCGCGTGTGGATTTTGGGGTGCTAAATTAGAACTCTCAGACGTCTGACAACGAGTGCAGATCAAGGGCCCAACACCCCAAAGCCGGCCACAGGAGTTGCCCCAAAACCCATCGCCAAAGCCCCAGAGTTCCGGGAGCTCCCGCATCATGTCCGAGAGCTCGAGGGTGTTGATGTCGCCACTTCCATCCTCCCGAAGCTTCTCAGTCAATACTTCGACTCCCACCAAAAAACTCTTGACGATAAGAGGTGAGGAACACAGACACATGTTGAAGAAGCAAGTGCAAGAAGTGTAGGGAGCCTTCATGCTGCTCGAAATCTTTGAATCGATGATTTAACGGCTGCGTGACAACTCGAGTTCCAGGAGCCTCCGGATAGGCTATTATCTGCAAAGGGGCTGCGCCTGAAACCGACACGCCGTGCAAGACCCCACCAACCTCTAATACTTACAATAAGATTTTGGGGCCCACTATACGCTAACTACAATCAGGAACCTCTAAAACAGTATCGCTAATCATTTAGGCCACTATACTAAACTGCAGGGTTCCGGGTTCACTGCTACCCAAGCGAAGCCAGGGCGCGAGCAAATGGAACCGACATCTCCCGTCATGCCATAGGTTGTCGTACACGATGATAGACTACTATACTATGTATGTATAGCGTTATCATATGTATCTATATAAATATATGGTATCCCCCCCCCGAGTTATCCACCAGTTTTGGTGTAAATCCTGTGCAATCTGCCCCTGACCCCTCCCCCTCGCTTATCTACCGACTCAAAAGACAAGTACGTGTGTACTCTGAACGTGTGCAGTACCAAAACAATACAACAGATGTTAGTGTACATGCCTGCGCACCTGTTTAGGGAAGTGAGAGCGC